ATATATTATGTATACATATATTATGTATACATTATGAATAATTGCATAAATAAAAGGCAACATATATTTTCCATAATCTATACAAACATATATATCTAAGAACCCAATAACTTAACTAGGCGCAACTCCCTGAACCGGGGGAGGAGGCCGACCGAGTGAGGACCACTAAAACCCAAGACTAAGACAAATCGAGTTAAGCAAAGTCATCAATATGCATATCAACGCAACCGAACTCAAGGAAAAAAGTTAAATATCGCTCACACTCCCATGGGCGCCCGTGAGATTCCTCATCTGGGGCCAAAAATTGAAAATCACATAACCCACAACATAACTAAGAACCCCCTCGCCAAGGATAGAGCTATCTAACGGATTATGATTGTTTATCCTCTGCCCGATAGTCTAATGTTGTTCTATCGACAAGAGCTCCTTATATAGAGACCAACAGTCGACTGTCAGACTAAAAAATCCTACCAACAAAGTTAAGTCGATCTAGCTAGTCTTGCTAATCCGAAGGTCATCAAAGGCCGATCAACAATCCCAATTCAACATAATCAAACGACCAAGCACAATGATTTCAACCAACCGAGTCAAAAGGTAACGTAGCCATAGGCCCATGCACGTAAAATACTCAGAATATACTATAATGCTCCAATTAAAACATGAACAATATATAACTTCACAAAATATACCCTCCATTATAAATAAGAGAATCATTTTAATAAGAAATGACTAATCTATAATACTACTTATTATTCATTATTGTGCACCTTTCTCTTTCTCTCTCCTTATGCTCTATTCTTTAAATGTGATTCAAGAATAGATCAAAATTCAAGTGTATATATATATATATATATTTACATACACACATATTTTAAAAAGAATGATCGGCCCTGTGACCTGAGGAGACTTTCGACCTTTAGAAAGGTTGCTGCTCTACCAATAGGTCATGGTATATTGTGTGTGCACCCTGGGTGACAATTTGGTCGTCAGCTTCGTCGCAAATCCCCTTTGACCCGAGTTCGATTCTCGTTGATAGCGAACGCACGCCCTTTAGGGATCGGTATTTCAAAATATTATGTGTGTATGTATGTGTACCATGACCTGTTGGTTGAACAATCTCTAATGGTCATAAATCCCCTCAGGTCACGGGTTTGAATGCTCCCGTGTAGAATACGATACTCGAATATTTATTATACCTAGGAATGGTCGAGCTCCTCAGGTCATGGGTTCGATTCTCCCTAGTGGAGAGTGTAGTACTCGAATTGTTAGACACATGAGAGATGATCGTGGCTCGTATAATTCTCTCTCTCTCTACATATATATATATATATA